GTGTGTGTGCAATGTGACAGAAATCAATTACTCCCTTGCAGGTGTGAGGGAGTGACTCCAACACTGTGTGTGTGTATGTGTGTGTGTAAAAGAGAGAGAGAGAGAGTGCCTTATGGTAGCATGGCAACATTATTTAATCGAACTTCAGGATGATGCATATGCAGGCCCAAACTGCCTAGCACGAATCTAAAAAACTCGGTTTGGAATGAGCAGAAACGTCATTTATATGATAATACGATTGTATGACTTCATGAATAAATGCAGACAGATTGCAGATTAAAATGCAGATAAATTTCGTGGACTGCGTTTGGCTGCAGAACCACAGAACAATTAGAGCTGGCCTGGAGATCATTTGAAGGGCACGTGGATCAGCACTCGGGTGGATGACACCAGCAGATGTGGGAGCATATGCAGCTCTGCTTCCAGGGCTCGACGTGGACACCCAGGCTCACATTTAGATGAGCTCGGTGCTAATTAGGGGCTTCACAACCCGACGTGGAATTCGGTCGCTGTACAGAAACGCTGCGTTTCTGTCCCCCTACAAGCCGTAATGACTGTCCCATTCTCAGCCACGCCACTAATGAACACATGCTTAATTAATCAATTAATATATGCAGTTGATTAAATTACAACAAGAAAAAAATTGTATGCAAAAGCTCAAGGACATTTAAAGCTGTGGCATGAATATAAAACAAACCCGCAAGCGAAACTAATGCCAAGAGATTCTATCTCTATGTATTATCTCTCACTGTAAGTGCATGTTCAGTGTGCGCTTGTATTAAATATCTTCTCTGTTAATGCATCAATATGACCGTCTTTCTTTTCTCTCTTATCTGATCAACCTTCAAAAACATCTGTCTCCGTCTCTTGTGTGTAGCTATCAGCATGGGACCTCGGCCAGCCATGTGATGGCTGATGGATGGATTTGTTGTCAGCGAGATTTGAGGGCAATCAAAGAGGCTCTCAGTAACGACTGCCAGGGGAAAGCGGCGCAATGAACTCTGCGCTTCATATTCGCCCCCTCACAGCCTGCAGCCCAACAATGAAACTGCACCAGCCATTTGTGTCTGATATGCTGCATGTCAATCATTTCTCTGTGTCTAAGAGTCATGAAACCTGCGATGGAAATGGAATCCGAGAAATGTCAACTGTTTTATGTGAGCTATCCGTAATTCCATCTGAGACAGAACAGACTTCGAGTCAGGCGTTTAGAATGCAGAAACACACATAAACAAACCAAAAGTAGTGTAAACTGATTAAACATGTACGCCAGAATTTTAAACCTAATTAATTTACAAGTACATACAAGTATATTTTACTTACGAATTCAGGAAAGTTACAAACAAATATGTCTTTGGCAAAACCATTTATTGATTTTTCAAACAACTGCTCCAGATTGATTTACAGAATTAATTACGCTTCAAATAAGCAAGTTTTCATTTCTTTTCTCAGGAACCATGGTGAAGCTATTATATAATAGATGTACTAGATAGAAAGCAGCAAATTATAGCTAAGTTATTTATAAATTACTATGCCCATTCTATAAATTACTATGTCCATTACTAAATTATATGTCCATTCTGATAATGCTACTTTGGTTGTTGACTTGGTGGTAACACTTTTCTCGAACCCTGAGCTGACACTGAGATAACCATGTCATACGCCTGACTTGCCTGGTGTCACATGCTGTCATAAGTTGTCATAACATTTACTGTTCACCAACATAGCAGTATAATATAATGTTGTGTTACCATTATCATTAATTTAGCTATAATTAAATGCATTATATGGCCAAACGTTTGTAGACACCTGACCATCACACCCATCTGTGGGTTTTCCCCAAACTGTAGCCACAAAGCTGGAAGCACACAATTGTATAGGATGTCTTTATATGCTGTAGCATTACAAATTCCCTTCACTGGAACTAAGTGGCCCAAAGATGTTCCATCATGACAATGCCCCATGAACAAAGTGAGCTCCATGAAGACATTGTGCGCCAAGGCTGGAGTGGAAAAACTCAAGTGGCCCCACTGAACAGCTTTGGGATAAACTGGAACACTTCTTGCCCAACATCGGTACCTGACCTCACTAATGCTCTTGTGGCTAAATGAGCACCACAGCCACACTCCAAAATCTAGTGGAAAGCCTTCCTGAAGAGTGGAGGTTATTATAACAGCAAAGGGGGACTAAATGTGGATTGAGATGTACAAAAAGCACATATGGCTGTGATGGTCTGTTGTCCACAACCCTTTGGACATTTAGTGCACTTTAGGTAGAACAGCATTTGCTTAAAGGTAGTGTCACTTCCCTGTGCTGACCAAACATTGCCTACACTGTTTGCCATCCAACTTTAAATTGCTTGTGATATACAGTGATTCTTCTATATATCAAACTCATGACATGACTCTTCAACTGTCCAGTTTTGGTGAGCCTGTGGCCACTGTAGCCACAGATTCCTGTTCTTGGCTCACAGGAGTGGAACCCGATGTGGTCTTCGGCTGTTGTAGCTCGTCCAACTCAAGGTTTTACATGTTGCGCATTCTGAGATGCTTATCTGCTCACCATGGTTGTAAAGAGTGGATATTTGAGTTATTGTAATCTTACTGTCAGCTCAAACCAGTCTTGAATCACTCTGTCCTCTCTCTTCTGACCTCTCTCTTCAACAAGGCATTTGCACCCCCAGAACTGCTGCTCAGTGGATGTTTTTTTGTTTTCTTTAATTTGTAGAGACTGTTGTGTGTGAAAGTCCTGGAACATCAACAGTTTCTGAAATACTCAAACCAGCCTGCCTAGCACCAATAACCATACCACAGTCAAAATCACTGAGATCACATTTCCCCCCACTGTGATGTTTTATGGGAACACTAACTGAAGCCCCTTACCTGTATCTGCATGATTGTGTGCATTGTGCTGCTGCTACATCACTACAAGCTATATAAGCAATAAATAAGGTGGAAAAACATGTTAGCTTCAACATTCAGATTATGTCATGCTTCAACATTCAGAATGTCATGTGTCTCACCATGACTGTAAACTGATTGCAGCCTTTTCTGTCTTTTTTTTTGTTGTTGAAAATGGTGAATATTTACATGATCTTTCGGAGTGCAGGCATGCTTGAGCTTTTTTGAGGCCACCTTCATGCCTCTGTGAATGTTTGTGCTGTTCCCATCCCGCTGCCTACACACTGCCATCTCAATGCCTACCATTTATTGCAGCATCTCAAAGTCACGCTTGCACAGCAAGACTGGGCCTATGCCAAATACACATAATTACAATTTTACATCCTGTAATGTAAATTAGTCTGGTAATAAATTCGAGTCAAGGTGTGAAAATGCCTATTCTCTACACTTTACTGACAGATATAATTTAGTACTGTAGAAAAAAGAGGAAATTCCCTGTTGGTGCCGTTCATTTTATTGGTCCAAATTGGGCACATGTTTTTTGAATGCCAGACAGAAAGTGTGTTGTGTACTATGTATATGTGTTCAAGATGTATATGTTAGGTTATTAATGAAAATGTTGCTTATCTTGTGCCTATGGGCTTCACTGCAGCAACCCGCTCCAGATAGCACAAGAGAAGAAATAGAAAGGAGTTATGTTTCTGCTTCATCTCTTCATGTGACAGAACAAAGCGACTATAGTTTTACTGTCCCAAACTGCTACCTAGTCACTACACAACTACACAACTGGGGCAGATATAAAGGAAAGGGAAGGAGAGAAAGGGAAACAGACTATTGCAGGCAGAGAAGATGAATATGCTCTGAAGATGCGCAGATGAGATCAGACACTGCGACATGTCAACATCAGACATCAGCGTCTCTCCTTCAGCAGGCAAGGAATCAAGACAAATCATCCCTCTTCTCTATTTTCTCGGTCTCTCCCTCTCTATCACTCAAACACAAACACACACACACGTGCACAGCGGTGTGTCAGAGGCAGAATGAATTTTCCATTAAAGTCATGCTGAGCTTACACTGCCAGCGCGGAAAGAGGGAATACAGAAAAAAGAGATTTGAATAAACCTACACTGAGCGCATCGCCTTACCATCCACAGTCGGCTCTTAAAACAGAACCTTGCCTGTCTCTTAGCGTCACTTTCACTTTGTCTTTCCAACATGGTGACTGTATACCTGCCGTTGTGCTGGAAACACCCTAGGGTTCGTCTGTGGGTGAGCAACCCCGAAAGGTCAAGGGTCAGGTAGACTGAGGCTCTGCTCAAATGCTGCTTCAGTGTCCAGTGATAGCACGCAAAACTTAATATTAAAAAGATTTTCCTGAAAAGACAAACAAGCATTAAATAGAGCTGAAACCAAACGGCTAATTGCTACATCAGGAAATAAGATGCCAGGCCCTTTTTTTGAGCACATGGCACATCTGAGGAGTGTCTGATTTCCCTCCTTACTTCGGTCTTCTCTGCAAAGACTGTAAGCGTGGAAGCTGCTTTTATATTATTTACAAATAATACTTGCCAAAACTAGGCTTAGCAGGTTGCAATTACTGAATTTTATTTTATTTATAGAAGCTCATAAATTCATATAACCATGACAAGCTCTAAGTCTTCAGACACTCATTTACAACAATTGCTTAAAACACTATTTATATCTTCTTCCAAAAAAATCCCAGCAGTCCACACTGGCGTGTATCATATGCCGTGTTCATGACAACTGGGAAATTGGGGTTTCCTGACTTTGTTCTTTGAAGCTTGATATGATCACATGACATCAACTATTTAAAGTAGAAAAATGGACTCTTGAAGCTAGAGATGACAACAATCTGATACCCAGGACCGGTTTTGGACTAGTACCAGCAAAAATGGTGCATCAATTTTTTTCCCTCTTTCGGCTGCTCCTGTTCAGGGTCGCCACAGTGGATCACTCGTCTGCATATTGATTCTGGCACAAATTTTACGCCAGATGCCCTTCCTGATGCAAGCCTCCCCATTTCTGGGACCAGCACTGAGAGTGCACTGCCTCGTGCAACCCTCCAGTAGCTGGGATTGGTTCCCTGACCAGGAATTGAACCCGGACCACAGAGATAAGAGTGCCACATGCTAGCCAATTTTCCACCAGGGAACAAAAAAAATGGTGCATCGAATATGCTGTAGGAGAAAAAAAAGAACTAATTATCTCCCGTAACATATGCAAAAGATTGGAATTGGATTTGTAAAAGATATTTTTTTGGAACTAGATATGGTTACATATAAAGAGACCTGATTGTATTGTCCAAATACCTTTGAGTCCCTGAAAATGGAGGTACTTTGCTGAAAATGGCTGTAATTCCTAAATGGTAAATGCCATATTTCTGTAGAACCTCATAAAATAAAGCTGAAAGTCTAAACTTTGATCACTTTGATTGTTTTATTTCAAATCCATTGTGGTGGTGTATAAAAGCAAAATCACAAAAACTCTGTCATTGTCCAAATACTTCCGGACCTGACTGTACATATGCTTATAAATAAATAAATATACTTATTTGTGATGGTGAAGTGACCTGTAGCTAAATATGGTGACCCATACTCAGAATTTATGCTGTGCATTTAACCCATCCAAGTGCACACACACACCGAGAGCAGCCCAGGGTTCAGTGCCTTACTCAAGGGTCTCACGTCATTCGTGGTATTGAGGGGGAAAGAGAGCGCTGGTCGTTCACGCCCTCCACCTATAATCCCTGCCAGACCTGAGACTCGAACACACGACCTTCAGGTTCACCTTTAGGTTACAAGCCTGACTCTCTAACCATTAAGCCACGACTGCCTATTGTGCGGACGGATCTTAAAACCAACCAAGGACAGTGTTTAGTGTTTAGTGTATTTTAGAAGTGGATATAGCATGTAGTCTATTATAATTCACCATTAGTAGTGTGAAAAAAAAAAAACCACGAAGTGTGCAGTTTGATAAAAAAAAAAATCTGATCTTTTCAACTGTCCAACTGTCCAACTCTTCTCCTGCTAACTAACCATAAAGCATATCAGACACTAATAAAAACTTTAAATTCATCTTAGAAGAATTTTGTGTGTTTTTAAAGAAAATCTTTTAGACATTTTTCAAGGCTTAAAACACATCATTAACCTGATTAACCATTGGCGGCTGGGATTACAGAAAATAATCAGTGGAAATAATAGCGGTGCTCACACAGCACTGGAGTGACATGTCAACACATAAACAGCATAATGTGAGTTAGTCTGAGTAAAAAACATGTTAAAAAAGAAGTGTAAAATGCAATGAGCAGTAGAGGCTCGATTACATTCAATTACAACAATTAACTTGTAAATAAATTCTCCTCATAAAAGCAAAATACGTAAAGACCGAAATGTGCCGTGTTTTATTCCACTCAGTTCTTACACAGTGTTTTGTGTGATAGACTCTCACGGGATGTGCACTATATGTATTGCAGTACATTATATGTATCATGCTAAAAAATAAATGAGACTATTTTCAAACGTTCTCTAATATGAAACCAACCCTACTGTCCTAATAGTATGAAAAATATTCTGCATATTTGGATAGAAATGCCCAAAACTGTATCTATATAAAACAGCAAACATGCAAAATAGACAACACACAATCGTCTGTTAGTAAATCAATCTGCATGATTTTTATTTTCCGGAAGCCTTTTGTCAGTCAGAGCAAGGATTAATTCATTAATCATTTGGTTAATAGTTTGCTACCTCTGTGGATTTAATCACTCTCTCTCATGCGCTTCTTTATGCTGCACCATGTCTCTTTTTTATTTGCAGGCACTACAAGAGTGTTTGTTCTACCTGACAGACAGAGAGTGATGTGCTAAGACACAAATACACTTATACATACAACAGTGTCAAACAATATCAATAACAGCTCACGGGGAAAATGGTTAAATATTTACCAGCTCTTTCTGACAGAGTAAATTTATTGTGGCTCTGTTTGCATGTTCAATTCAATATAATGGACCGGATGAGACACTTGAAACAAACACCAGACTGAAATCGCTCCCTGACGTTTGACGCTGTACTCAGGTCTGGTGAAAGCAAAACTCTTGGTTTAGTCTTAGATATACTTCTAATTACTGATCTGAGATAAATTACTTCCATTTCTTGGTTTGTGTTTTTTATTTTTTTAAGGCCAGTGCTCCAGGATCATTACTAATAAGTATCCTGTGCTCTGAGTGTTGTATTAAAACAGCCTGTAAATGACATGCCGGTGGAGCTATCGAAAACAAGCCTAATAGTCAGATTCTCTTGAGCCCTGTTGACCTTTGCAGAGCCTCTGAGCTCAGAGAAAATCAAACTTCATTATTGCCTGCCTTTAGTATATTACACCTACCAGCACTGAATTGGCGTGGAGAAAGGATTAAGGATAAAGAATGGAGATGATTAAATCTGTGTATGTGTGTGTGTGTGTGTGTGTCTTGTGTTCCCATCTGGTAATTCTCTGTGGATTTCATTCATTCATTCATTTTCAGTAAGAGCTTTCTCCTGGTTAGGAGTGTGGTGGATCCAGAGCCTATAACAGGAACACCGTGAGTGAGGCGGGAATACACCCTGGATGAGATGCCAGTGCATTGCAGGAGAACACACACATTCATAACTAGGGGCAATTTAGCATTGCCAACCCACCTACCTGTATGGTGGGAAACCATTGTAGATACGGGGAAAACATGCAATACTCCATACAGTATACAATACAATGTAAAAGCACCCATAAAAAAACCCCACAAAGACATTTTATTTTAAAGACAGACTATTTTTTTCATCTCAAAAGCGAACTGACTAAGAGAAATAAGGACAGTGGCCTTAGAGTCTGAGTGACATATTGGTTTTAATTAAAAAAGTTTCCTTGCCCTTCAGTACAAAATAATGTCTAGACACTATTTTTAAAAATAGAGCGAGGAGAAAAGAGTTTGATAAGGATTTAATTGAATTATGGTGCGCTGTCGGTTTAAAAAAAGGAAACCTGATGCTCACGGACCTCATCAGATCCCTCTTGTCCATGTGTGTCTGTCAGTCTGCAGCCAAGCAGTCCATCGGCAGGATTAGCTGCCTTTATTTGAATTAATAATGAGATATTGCACGTGGCACACAGGCGTCACACGCTTCTGCTTCTTAAGATTAACTACTTTGTCAATTTTCTGCTATTGCCTTGTGCACCTAGCAGAACATTAATTCAGCTTATCATAGACATGCGCACACAGACACACACACCCCCCCACACACGCATCCTGAATAAGAGGCATAGTAGATGCCTTTTTCAAATTTACCTTGTACCGCAGTATATATCAACTGCTTCCATTCTGTTAAGTTTAAGTTTGCATAACTTTCCATGAGGCACATAAATAAAGAAGCAGATGCGCACGTTCAATTCTGAACAAATGCCGATGAAATTCATTGCACTTAAAATGCAAAACTGTAAACTTCAAGCCTTAAAGTGAGCTTGAAATGAATCCTTAACCCTCTACATTCAGCAGTTCATTTTATCGAGTATACTTTTCAGTATTACTGTTACTCTACCTTAATACTCGCTCGACATCTGACTCAAAAAACAAAACAAAACTGAAACCCAGAACAAGACACGCTCCCTGGTCAATAATTTAGGACCTCACTGCAGTTTTCAAAAGCTTGGCATCAAAAACAGACCTGTATGTAATCTGGATGAGACAGAGAAAGAATACACCGCAAGTGGGAGACAAGGTGAGATAGAATGTAGAGGTGAAGGAGGAAGAACAGGTTGTTAAAGATACATGGAAGGGATAAAAATGTATTTTGCAGAGGTTGAAGGGAGATTGTTAGATCAGTTCTGCAGAGATGTCCTTTCCTTTAGCATTCGTCTCTCTATCTCTTTGATTTTATCTGACAAATTGATTTCACCAGGGGCGGAAGGCCATAAGACAATATATAGTAATTACTACACACTACAGGTACCACCCCATTTCCAATCTGAGCAGCTGCACAATTTCGTACTTAGACAGAAAGAGAACAAAGAGAGGGTGGAGAGTTAAGGCTGAATTATAGTTGCTTTTAACACATACACAAGATGGCTGCCGCGAGTATCCTGTGATCGTTTGGAGCATCGCTTGTGCAGTTTCTCAGAAATGGACCCTACGCATGCACATGTTGCAATACTATGCAGTACCCTGTGATACTGTGTCTGCAGCTGACTAAATAAACTAGCATTGTTTCTCAAATCGCATACTTACGCATTACTCTAGACCATTAACGAATACTAACACTAACCGGTTTTCCTATTACAGTATGTTTGAATTTTAAGAAAGGTCTGTTTTGCGTACCAATCTTCTGGATCTTATATATTATTAAATATTAAATATTTTGAATCTAACGTCATTGTTTTTTTTAATTTCAGAAGCAGCTCACGACAGCAATCACAACAACGTTGGGAATATATAACAGAGCTGTTTAACATCACTGTGCATGAAATCATTAACATTTCGGTTTCGACTTGGAAACCAGATGAACAAGGACGTTTTGGCTATGATGTGCCAGCTAACAAATGTTGCTCTTAATCATCCAGATGCACATAAACTATGCAGGTGAGTTTGTGAACAATGAGGGGGATAGAGCAGATGTTCTTAACTTGATTCAGCACAGCAATGTGGTGGAAAAACTACCTATATTTAGCGCTTCATTCTGAAATCACTGGTAGGGACATTGAGCAGTATTTGGGCCACAGAGGGAGAGAAAACTAGTTGAAGCATGGATAAGTATAGGAGACCTTTATGCTAAAAATGTCATCCACCAACAAGAGCCAGTGACGCACTGACTAGCATTAGGCAGACATGCTTTCAGACATTTTTTTAAAAATGGAAAACTTCAGGGTCTGTGTGCATTGCTTTTTAAAAATAGCAAGAGGCTAACGGGAAAGGAGGATGACACTGCAGCTGCAATTTAGGAACATTTTAATCACCCAAAGGCTTTTTGATATTACCTGACCATAACTAGCATTTCAGTTAATGTGGGTGGGTGGTTGACTGGGTCGGTAAGGTTAACTAATTAGCTAAATGGATCATTTTCAGCAGGTCTCCGGTCAAAATCTGTCACAAATTTACTGCAGTGGGCTTTTTTTCATATTTGAACTTATGA